TTGCTTTTGTTATGATTTATGGTGAAAAATTAAAAAAAAACATGTTTTCCATAAGAAATACATTGAAAACGGCGTTTTTCACACTTTTTATTTGGGTGCGACTTTTTGCGGTCTTTTTTTAGTGTTTCAAAAATGTGTATGGAATCAATTTGTAGGAAATTTTATTTTCTTTCAGAATATCACCTTCCACTTTAGTCGATTTCCTCACCATTTAAAAGTTATTTGCAAAAAAGCTAAGCAACCTCCGAATTTATAGTAATGAGAAAATACCGACTTAGGGATATTTTTGTTAAACTTTGTACAACTAAATCTAGACTTCTACTGGACCGATTCTGTTAATTAATGGGTCATTGGAAAGCCCAAGTCATGTAGATTTGCAAATAATTATGAAAGTGTGATTTTATTAAATCGTTGTGGTAAAAAAGTAAAAATAACAAAAATACATTAAAAACTGCTTTTTTCAAGTTTCTGTTTTCAAGTTTTTATTTGTAGCCAGCTTTTGGCTGCCTTTATTAAGCATTTTCAAGAAATGTATAGTAGTTATTTGTAGTAAATTTTATTCTCTTTCAGAATATCCCATCCACGTTGGTCGATTTACCCACTATTTAAAGGTTATTGGCAATAATCTAAGTGATCTCCAAATTTATAGTAATGAGAAAATACTGAATTAGATATATTTTTGTTAAACTTTGTACAACTAAATCTAGACTTCTACCCGACCGATTTTGTTACTTAATGGGTCGTTGGAAAGCCTAATTTGTGTAGATTTGCAAATAGTTATGAAAGTTTGATTTTATTACATATTTGAGGTAAAACAATAAAAATAAACAATATTACATTTAAAACGCCTTTTTTTCCAATATTATATTTCCAAGTTTATATTTGTAGCCAACTATAGGCTGGGTTTATTGATTATTTTAAAAAAAAATGCATATTAGTAATTTGTAGGAAATTTTATTCTCTTTCAGAATATCACCTTCCACTTTGGTCGATTTCCTCACCGTTTCAAAGTTATATGCAAAAACGTTAAGCAACCTCCCAATTTATAGTGGTGAGAAAATACTGAATTAGAGATGTTGTTGTTAAACTTTGTACAATTAAATCTACAGTTTTACTGAACCGATTTTATTAATTAATAGGTCATTGGAAAGCCTAATTTGTGTAGATTCGCAAATAACCATAAAAGTTTATTTTTTTAAGATTTACTAGGTGAAACCCGTCATAGTCAACAGTTACTGTTGAGGTTGCAATCAAGATCGTTTGACTATAAATCAATGATAAATAACTACTGTACATTTTTTGAGCAATTTGTGTTGTACGTCATTTAGCTGTTTGCTTTAGGTACGTCCGATCTTAATAATCAATAAATCAAATGGAAGCTGGTATTTCACAGAAGGTTCTTAGGTCAAAACAAATAGAATAACGCAATTAGAATTAAGTAAATATATCTAAAACTAAATTCCATATCCAAGATATAATCAAATTTATATTTTCTGGTTGAGCGATACAGTATCTTAAACTTAACTGTTTAAAACTATCAATATCTCAAGTGAAAGCCTATGAAGTATTTTAAGACCAAGACATATAAAATAACTTAAATAAAAATAGAGTTACGTATCATTGATTGCAGATAAGTACTAAAACGATTGTAATTATTGTTGATTCGTGATTCAGCAGTGTGTTTTAGGTAGTCCGATCTTAATAATCAATACAGTAGCTCAAATGAAAGCTGGTATTTCACTAAAGTTTTTTAGACCAAAACATATCGGGTAATGTAATTAGAACTGCTGGAATACAACTTTAATGAAGTGAAAAAAAATCTAATTTAAATTCTTTCAAAATATACATCAAAATGAATGCCGATGCTTAATGGCAAATCTGTGGTACGTCTTTAGTTTAAGGCTAAAATTATGAAAATCGGTTGGGTAAAAGAGCTAACCCGACTCGGAAAAGAAAAACCAATAATTTTTATAGATGGCAATAATTGGTTTACCACTATGCAATCCAACTATCTAATCTAATGTTATGTGCTTAATCTGTACCATTAATATTATAGTGAGTAAAGTGGTGTATGGATTTCATAACCATTATTTTACTAGAGACCGTTGTATTTAACCACAACGGGCACTGTTGCTAGTAAAACAATAACACAAAACATATTTAGAACAATTACCATATGTTATTTACATATTAACTACTACTGTCAACTTTCAAGGCTTACGTTAATTCATCTAACTGTGATAAATTGGGTGAAATCTACATATTTTGAGTATTTAGCATTGTTTAAAGAGTAATAAGTGTACAAAAATCGGTCCCGCGTCCAGGTCTTACCATGAGTACTACGGTAATAGCGTATTCCCTATATGGGAAATTCGCTAAAAACAATAATGATATTAATTGCGTGAGTTGCCAACTTTGGTTGATCATTCAATGATTAAAACATTTCTTAGACTGTACGTCATCGGAGTTATTATTAGTATGTTATATGGTATCTCTTGCTTTGGAAAAACCCTTAAATAGTATTACAATCGTATTGGTGGATCTTTTGTAGTTAAACACTTCCGCGATTTCATCAGTGTAATATGATTGTATTTGAAAAGAAAATATTTTTTGGGAAGACATATTCTAACTTCAAAAGGAAGTTAGAAGGGTTTGAATGAACCCTCTAGCATAGTTTTGAGAAATTGGTTGTGGGATTACTGTTAAAGCTAGAATTCCTTGACATGGGGGGTGTCAGTTAGTTGTCTCAGCCTTATCAATTACATAAAGTTGTCTATATAATCTCTCTACGGAATGTTAGGTGTAGTGGATGGAGTACTTGAAGTGAAGTTGGCTTTTATTCTTTAACTGTTAGGGGCCTCCTCATTTAAATGGTCTTGGCGGCTTCTTTGGCAACAAATCATGCAAATGACATAGCAATGGGACATTTCCAAAAAGCAAAAATACTGTATATTGGCTGTTACGTATATATTGCCGTTTACATATTGTTAATCGACGTATCTTATAAAGGATTATGTGATCTAGTTTAAAAGGAATATGACCTTTCTGTCGTGACAGTAGCTGCTTAAATAGTATTTTCTCTTTGTAGGCCTACCATATTTTACAGCCAAAATGGCGTATTATTTTCAATAATGTTACCAACGCAGTGCGCCAAAGTCCATAATATAGGCAGGTGCAAATAATTTGTCAACATGGGTACCATTTTAGGCAATGTTTCTATTTTTGGACTTTATTATACACGATTAGAGCAGATATTTCGACATAAATATTCGTTATGTGTAGAATAATATAATAAAATGTAGACAAAAGTGGTGAAAAAGGCAGACACTAAGCCATACAATAGATATAAGATAGTTCAATAAGAAATAATTTAAGAATTGCTGTGATGAAAGGATTTTCCACTGATTTCGTAATGGAACGTTATATTGCAAAACATGACATGATAAAGAAGAAAATTAAATTTAAAATCAGAAAATAACATTGCAAATACTTATTTGGTAGAATCAGAATTCAGTAACTTCCAATGAATATGTATTGTTTCAAATACAATTAAAAAATGAACAGCTGTTTCATTAAAAAGTATTATTCACATGGCCAAAATGTGAACAACTCTGTGGAAGGATCTTTAAAGGCTTCTGGGGCAGAGTCCCAAGGGATTATGCTTAGTTTTTCTTTTGATAACTCATCTACAGACCAAGACCTTTCTTTAGACACCTCTTCCAAGTTTCTACGCCCAGCCGTTCTCTCAAAATAGTGGGGACAAAGTTTCCAATTAAATATTTAGATTCCCCCATGTTAATCTTATGGGAGAAAATCCAACTTTGATGGCCTGTGGGGCAAAGCCCGAGGACTTTTATTACAGGAATTGTTGAAAGGGGGCGTCTACACAAAAAATAATTGATTTTGACACGTCGTTTGTAAAAATCCGTCCATTATTAATGGAGGAGTAGTGTTTCGTAGAAATCGCCTTCACGTATTATATATAAGGATTTGTATTTCGTTCGCTTCAACCAGTTAAAGTTCGTCGGCCACCTCCAATTGGCCGTCCTGGTCAACGTCCTATAGTCTCCATTATGTCGAAAATTTGTGTTGGTTATGTTTTTATTTTGTGCAAATAAAAACTACTGGTTTAAAATAGTGAAACATCAATCTTTTTAAAATCGAATAAATCATTACTACCCCAAATTTAGTATAACCAGCTGTTTCAAATATTAGTGTCATTTTCAAAGTATTCATCTGTTCAAAAGTAAACAAACATTTTCTCCCTAAATAACATGGGAACTTTGAAGGCCACTGGGGTAGAGCCCTGATGGAATTCCGAAGTTTTTTTGTTTGATGGCAAAACTACATGCTAAGATCTTTCTAACGACACCTTGAACATGGTGATTGGTAGCACCACCGCTCCTAAACAATTATGACAAAAATATGCCTAGCGTAATAAATATATAGAGAGTTGCTTTCACGAAATTTTATTTCTTGAAATTACACTTACATTAAAAAAGGCTGCCATTTTTAGTTGTTAAAAAATATTCTAAGAAACAATTACTAATAAAGCTTGTACCAAGTTTCATAAAATCTCACCAATAGGCATCGGGTTATTATTATTGTTTTATTTGCGGAAAAACCGACTATGGAAAAACAAAGCAAAATAAAAAAATACGGGACATTTTTGTCTTATTTTGGTGAATTTCAGTTGTGCTTATTTATCTACGCATTTTAGCAGCACACGTTTTGTGTTACATGTGACAAAATATGACAACAATAACAATATTAATGCAACGACAAAAATAACAAATCAACACATAATAATGTTTAAGGCACATTTTTAGACTGTTTCGACTTTGAGTCAAAGTAGTCCAAGTTCGTAATATAAGGAAACAATAACGCATTTACAGATTATTCAACTTATACAGCTTAAACAAAACAAACCTTTTGTGGGCTTAAGGACGATCCACTCAAAATATTTATTTTCACAATATAATTAAAACCTTTACACTTACCTTTTCATCTCGTTCGTGGTACGCTCGAGGGATATGATGAGGTTTCTTTTTTAACGGACAGAGTTTATAAATAAAATCATCACCGACGACATCCACATGCACTACGAGCAAGACGACCCAAATGTATTTCCTCTTCACCTGTTCGACTATCCAATCCTGGTAAACATAAACAATTATATACATTTTCAATATTATAGTAACAATGAAGACTTGAGTTTTTTTTTGCAAACTATTAGCTCGTGGATATATAATAAGTTTTAAAGTGAGTGCTCATATCTAAGAACAACTAAGAAAACCTTAAATAATTCTGTTGAATGAGAGGCCAAAATAAAATATAGGTAATGTGACAGCCCACCAATCATTAAATAATAATGGAATGCTCTCAATGTTTCGCTAAACACTTGATTAGTGTATAAACAAATTTAACAATTTTTTTAAGAGATTGGCGGGCTTTTTCAACCTTGCATTTGCCCGTCCACATAGACTACAGATCTGTGCGTGGAACGTATCCAGCAAAGCAAGGGGTGAGCCGGTACAGTACAAAGGTGAACTGTACTGATAAATTTTAGTGGCAGTGACCAGGATCCAAACCCACGACATCACTGCCTTGGGAGCGCGAAGTCCTTGACGCTGACCAACTACTGAGCCACCGACTCGCCAAAACAAAAATTTAACCGAAACATTTTAGACATTTCGAATTTTTTCTCGATTTATTTAATCGAGCTTTGACATTTCCACTTCATTTCATGTATAATTTTTAAAATTTTGTAATGTTTAACAATTGTTTGGTGTTTTTGTCTCTTATTGAGTTTTTGTCAAGACTAATCACCAACATTGCTCGCCCCACAAAAGGAGTCCCACATTTTGGTACAGTATCCTGCTAAAGTTTTAACTATTTATAAATAACTAGTGGTTGTCCAGGGGTTGAAACACGACCAACAATATGTAATGTACATGCATTGCATATTGGACACTGAAGTAGACATCCCATCTGTATGGACCAGCAGTGGCCATTTTTCTAAATAAAAAAAACATACAGTTGTGTGAGCCAGTCACAGAATGCATGTCTAAAATTCACTTTTTACCTTATTTTTTGTTGCTGATCAAAGTTGATGGGTCATAACAGTTACTATATCTCATAATAAGTCATTCCATAAGTTTCACCTGGTATAAAACTTCGTGTATTTGTCAAAAATTAGTCATTTAAATCAGTGCAATCTGTTGGTGGCTCACATCAACTATGACGAATTTAATTAAAAACTGGCTACAACTTTAACAAGGAGATGGAATGTCTAGTTGTAAGTCAAAGGTACAGGCTTCTCTAGTTTCCCCCCACGCTGTAAATAAAACTTGTGATTGTAATATATTCAATTTGTTTTGATTATCTGTTTATATTTCATTGTGATTTCGTCACCAGCACGGCAACCCATAAATCCCATGTTTTTTTTTTAATTTTAAATTAATTTTATGTGCTTATATTTGAGCCTATTTTAATTTTTAAATGGATTCTGCTCATATACAGGAACATATCTTTCTAACTGTATGCGTAAATTATCCCTGTGATGCACACGAGCTGAGAAAAAAGGTTTTAAAGAAACATGCTTGCCTATTAATATATAGATTTGCTCACCATTTGAGTTCTTAAATGAAATTCCAGTTCATCCTTTTTGGCAGGGACGTCGTACTTGTGGAAATACGTGTAAATATCTTTGCCTTCGTAGGTTGTATATCTTTTTTCGTATTCAGCCTAGAACCCCCGAAAAAATTAGGTACATGTCACTTAGTTTACATTAACATAAGGTATTATTATTATGTTTTACCCTAACTTACGTAATTCCTTTATGATCCTATAATTTCATTAAATAAGGGAAAAGGTGTGACAAATTATAAGACCAAAGATTAGATCTTTTAAATAATTGTATAACATTAGAATCTGATATTGCGTATGTCGGCATTTTATACTGTTTAAAATTATTCTCTATTGGTGATGTAGTTATGATAAAAGCTTGTTTAACCTTGAGCTCTTGCAGCCCAAGACTGTTTGGGATGATATTTGGTCTCGTTATCATAGTTTACTAGTTGAGGTAATCATTATACTTACTTTGTCAGTTACGATGACTTTTTGGATCTGTAAAAAAGTTTCAATCAATATAATTAAATAGAACAACAGTTGTTTGCAATTGTTTCTGGTGTAGTTGTTTTCAAGGTGATTTGGTTTATTCAATGATAGCAACAGAGCCCGTTGTGGTTAAATACAACGGGCTCTAGGAAAATAACAGTTATGATATCTATGCACCACTTTACTCACTGATATTAATGGTACAGATTAAGCATATAACTTTAGAAACACACACATAACATAAGAAACACAATTTAACACAAATGCAAATTGTTTACACAAAAATGCAAACAAAGAACAATTTATGAAATGACAATATAACAATCGCCCAAATGTATTTCCTCTTCACCTGTTCGACCATCCAATCCTGGTAAACATAAACAATTATATACATTTTCAATAATATAGTAACAATGAAGACTTGAGTTTTTTTTGCAAACTATTAGCTAAAAAGGTTGCTAACCGTTCTCAATATATTTTACCATATATATTGAAACCAAAAATTAAAATAAATTAAATTAAAACATGACATTAAATTAAAACATCAGATTAAATGTTTGGTGTTAAGCAAACATTTTGATGTTTGCATAACATGCTTTTTTGGTACATGGATAATTATCAACACATGTTTTTATTTTATTAGATGATGCATACTGACAAACCCATTACTGCCATAAATCTTAAAAAAAAACTTAAATAATTATATTTTGCAAATCTACATGGATAAAGCTTTCTATTGACATATTATTGAAAAAAATCTGTTAAGTATAACTATAGATTTAACTCTACAAAGGTTAAACAACTATCACTAAAATTTACCATTGAACTTCCATTGAAATCTACCACTCAACATTTTGGGATCATATTTTCTTCTTTTAGACAAATTGGAAACTTTCAGCCGCCATCTTGGATCCGCCATATTGGATACCAAAACATATTTTCAAATCTAAAGATGGGGTTGTGACCCACTGTTTCAAACCAGATTTTTACGCTGAATAGAATGCTGTATTCTGTTTTTCAAAATCTTAATCTGTTAAAAAGTTATTAGGAGTATTCAAAAATAGTTGTCGTATACATTTTTATATGACGCAATGTTAGAATTTGTCCATATTCTCCTCACTTTGCTAAAAAGCCTAAGATTAAGAGTTAAGACGATGATAATTGTAAGGTAAAATTGAATTAATTTTAACGAATAATTAATTTTTGGCCAATAAAGCGTATACAAAAATTATTTTCAAAAATGCCTAATAACATTTTAACGGATTAAGATTTTGAAAAACAGATTGCGGCATTGTATTCAGAGTAAACATTTAGTTTGAAACGATGGGTTCAGGATAACTGCAGTGTTACATTTGTCTGCTTTACATAATAATGCCTTTGTTTTCAATTAATTTATTCTTTGTTGTGTTTAGGGCTAAATATTTACGTGTTTGTGTAGCTGATAGGTAAGATAGTTAAATAAGTTAATAAGTTTTAGGTAAGTTGTAGTTAAAACCTTTTTCCAATTCGTCCCTTTCATCTTGGTCGAACACTATGTTAGTAAAAATAGGTTGTTCTGGAGTAAGACTCAAAGTCAAATAGTTTTAATGTTACCTATGAAACATTGGAACTGTGCTGGTCGTGTTGTGTTAATTCAGGTGTTAATCAGCTTCAATGTTAATTAATGAGCTAATTCCAAATGTTTTTGTACAGTAATAGGTTCTTTTAAGAGTAAAAAATCTTATTTCAATACGAATCCAGGATGTTTCTGCTATGACCTTTGCACTTTTTGTTGCACATGATTAACTGTTTTTTTTTATGTGGACATAGTTGGGTTTGATTTTGTGCGGTAAACATATTTTGTCAAACTTGATGTTTTGATCAGAGTTACTCAATTTCAACTTCAAATTATTGTACTGATTGTCTAATATTACATGCTAACTTGATTATTAAGATTCATGGTGGAGCCCCTGAGCTGTAGATAGTGATTGTAAGATATATCATTAAAACCAATTATTCTTACAATATCTACAGCTCAGGGGATCAACAATGCAATTTAAGTATTTATTAACAGTGGACCATAAACTAGGCTCACCTTATCTTTCAAGTCAATCAAAAAATTACCCCAATTTATTTTGTATTTCGTTTTTAACTGTTTGGAGAGCTGTTTGGGGACGGTTAAGAAAATTCCATTATTAACATTGTTGCCTGCGAACTCCGCCACAGCAATCCCCTGAAAAGTTCATCAACATTTTTAGTTACATAAGTAATGAATTTAAGCCTTTGGTTTTCAAAATAAAATCATATTTTTTATTATTCTGTTATGTATAAAATATATTACCTTTTTTCAAATGGCTTAAAATGCCCTTAGTGATATTTTTAAAACATTAGTAATATTACAATCCCTCTGCACTCTTTGAGGGTCTAAACATTTACAATGGCTGACGAAGACACTTCAGAAAGATACCAAAAGGTACATCCTCCTTGTGGCATAGTTTGACGTTTATAAATGTCTTCATGTCCCCAGTATGAAATTAAATTGAAATTAAATACTTACAACTAGATACTTTATTAAATTCTAGAAAGAATTTTTATACAATGAATGGATACTGACAAAGGTTTAAACCAATATTTAGGCAACATGTAGAAGGATAACAGGGTAATACAAGGGGATTTCAAATTTCAATGTTAATTAGACATGTTACAATCTTAAAATCGTTTAATTACTTGCCTCGTGTTTAGCTATCTCAGTTGGATTCTGTGACAAACAAATCGCAATTACTTTGTCCTTGTAAGTTTCATACCTGTTTACGTACGCCTCCTAAAACACAATAATGTATAAATGTCACATTCATGATATCAATGTTATCAATTCTCAGACAGTATTGCCAGTGTTTATATTATAATCTACTAGCTGGCCCGACAGACGTCGTCCGGTCCTAATGTGGTTTTATGTCAAATACTCGTTCATTTTCAAGATGAGCTCGTTCACATAGCTCAATCACGTCCTGGTTGAAGTTTGTTTGCTACGCTTACTTGCCTTCAGGTTTAGCGTGTTTATTACGCTAACTCGCCTCCAGGTTGAAGTTCGTTCGCTACGCTCACTCACCTTTTGTTTGCAAATTAGCTGTTGTCATAAATTAAAAAAAATAATAGTGCTTCACCCTGTTGATAAACCAATTAACTTTTTAATGCTATTGAATATCACAGAATCAAATCCTTTAGTTGAACCAGCTGTTAAGACTCTTCAATTTCATTAAAATATAAGTACTCATAAGGATAACATGGGAAACTCCAAAGCCACTGGGGCGGATCCCTTCTGACGGACCTGTACCACACACTTCACACAAACTATCCTTGAATAATGCTTAATCATGCCTGAAAGTTTTATTACAATCTGTCGAGCGGTTTCGGAGTCCATAACGTTCAAATATATATACATATATATACAAACTTCCTCTTTTATAAATATAGATTAAACATACTGCATAATTAGGTCACAAATCCAGAATGTGTTTATATCAATCAGTGTATTTGAATTATAAGCATTGCTGATAATGCTAGAGTAAACGTTACGTTACTGTTTCGTTCTACCATACAAAATATTTGATGGGTACAAAATAATAATGTCTGTATAGTGTGTCCCTGAATTCCCTACCGACCTTTTTAGTTATCATTCCTAAACTAAAAACAAACTAAAATACCAAGATACGAATTCCAAAACTCAAAAACCAGCCGTAAAGCCACCATTTTTTACAAATTTGTTTTTAATTTGATAGCGTTTCTATGTTTTGAATTGAAATTTGTTGGATATATTATTAACACAATCACCCTAAAGAAAATATTAGTTTTATATTGTGAAATTTTAAAATGGTGGTCATTACAAATCTATAAACAGAAATAACGTAAATCCTATGTAGGTAAACAATAGTACTGTTGTGAAGATTTTTTTGCCACCATGGGAACAGGTAATAACATTAACCCTGAAGTTCTAGTAGTGACCTTTCAAAGGTTTGTGAATGGTCTAGGGATCATGGGTTAAAACTAAACCCTGGAAAATGTTCCGCTATGCACTTTGCCAACGCAGCAATCTATGAGCAGTTGGAAAAACACAACATCAAAGTCACAGTTGATAATTCATCAACTAGACAGGAATTGTTGCTTGACATACCAAGGGTTGTTCTTGATCCTGGTGTTAAATGTAAGATAAAAATAAAATGTTTGTTTGTGTACCTAACACTATGGTGTAGTGGTATTGCTTGTTAAGCCTGCCTGTGCTGGAAAGGGACAGCTGTTGTGGACTTGTTGGAATAACAATAGAACAATTTGAATGATGGATAAACTATCAGTAAAATGTGTATTTAAGAATGTTGTAATAATTTTTGTGAATAATAATTGTGTTTCATATTGTAAAATAAAGTGAGTATTTATTTATTTAACTATAAAAAAGTAAGAAAACTCTTCAGCTGGTAAAAGGGGGTTTTCTTACTTCAAGCTCAGTACAATGAACTTCCTTGTACACTAAAATCACGGTCTTACAAAATATTAAAAGGACGCCTGAAGAATTTGTAATTACATTTTTATTTTGTTTTGTAGTGTTGAGGATTTTTGTTTAGTTTTAGTCCTGACTTAAAGAAGTCATGAATAAAGACCTTATTATTTAATTATTTTTATTTAAATTTTATTTAGACAACCATCTTACAATTCTAACCATAGGCCTACCAAGTAAATAAAATGGTTCATAAATAAGGGAAATGACACATTTTTAAGATACCTTGTATTGAAACGTCCGATTAGTTGTTGTTGAGCAGTGATCTTACCCAATGACCACAGATTGTTGCACAGCAAAATATCTACATGGTGTCTATCGATGGTAAGTGTGAAAATTTAAAGGCAATGGATTATGGAACTAATTTAAAGAACCGGTTTGTATATTTTGTTGTTCGTTGATATGTTTGTAGAGTAAAATGCAATGAAACATGTACTGTATTTACTATATCATCTTTTAGTCCTTGATGTTTTGATAATCATATTAGTTTTGTCTGCCGTATTTAATGCTAAATTTTTTTAGTATGGATACCGTTTCTTTAATATTTTAAAAGACTATTGATGAGTACAACAATCTATAGGTATAAAAGAGGAAGTTTGTATATATATATATGTATATATTTGAACGTCATGGACTCCGAAACCGCTCGACAGATTATAATGAAACTTTTAGGCTTTATTAAGCATTATTCAAGGATGGTTTGTGTGAAGTTTGGTACAGATCCGTCACAAGGGCTCCACCCCAGTGGCTTTGGAGTTTCCCATATTAACCTTATGAGTACTTATATTTTAATGAAATTAAAGTCTTAACAGCTGGTTCAACTAAAGAATTTGATTATGTGATATTCAATAGCATTAAAAAGTTAATTGGTTAATCAACAGGGTGCAGCACTATTACTTTTTTTTAAATTTATGACAACAGTTAATTTGCAAACAAAAGGTGAGTAAGCGTAGCGAACGAACTTCAACCTGGAGGCGAGTTAGCGTAACGAACACGCTAAACCTGAAGGCAAGTAAGCGTAGCAAACGAATTTAAACCAGTACGTGATTGAGCTATGTAAACGAGGTCATCTTGAAAATGAACGAGTATTTGACATAAAACCACATTAGGACAGGACGACGTCTGTCGTGCCAGCTAGTATCTTCTAAAGTTGATAACAGCCTATGTTAGTGATTTATTGTGAGTGAAGATTGAATGATTTATGATTTAATCTGAGGAAGATTAACCAAACAAAATTTGTTCATTTAAATGTTATAAAAAGTAGTTTAAAATCTTTGAAAAAATAAAGAAACAGATATGTAACTAAGGGAAATGAAGGTAAATAATCTGGGTATTTAGGTATACCATGTGAAAATTGTATTCGTAAATTTGATAAGTGATTCTCATATCAGCCTCCAGAAGATTTGAAAACAATCAAAACTAAAGTGGTGGTTTTCACTACTTACCATATTTAAACCCATAAATGTTTCTATAAAGGCCATAAAGGTTGAATTTTGTTTCTAAAAGCGTTGGTGGATGTATAACTATTTTCCCATGTTATTCTTATGGCTCTTTTTTGCCATTTTTTTAAGACCCGGCTCTCGTCCAATACAAGCCCATACAAATGTTCAATACCATTGTACAACTTCATTAACTTTTCCAATCCACATCCATTCACATGTATGTGCGAGGTTTATAGCGAACTCAGGCGTGCTCCCGGCTCATGGCCTGCTCCCTTGGACATCCTCAGTGGAAAACCATGAATTCTGGCTACTTGGGAATCCAAGCCATTTGACATACAATAAATCACTCTTCCTTCGAATTACCTTCTTTACCAAATACATGTATTTATACTTAGTCTTTAACAACTCCTCTATGTAGAACCCTCCTCTGATTTATTGCCATTTTCATCTTTCAAGATATAAGTCACAGGCCTTGTATTCTTAACTTCTTCTACTGTAAATAGCTCCCCTGTCCAATTTTGGGTATATCCTTTACTAAAAACATGTTTATACTTGGAAATTCTCACACTATCACCTACCTTATATCTTGGCTTTTTAACTTGCACTACTTTAGAAGTCAACCTCTCATGCACATATTTACTATTCTTAATACTCACTTGGTTAGGCTTCATTCCTATAGATCTATGCATTTTATTATTATATTTTCGAATTAACTTTGGAAGTAAATCTAACCATTTTTAACTCCCCTTAGCACTAAATTCCCTATATAACCAATTCTTTAAAGTTCTCTGAAACCTCTCCACAATTGCAGCCTTAGTTGTAAAAATGTGTGATAGTGATTAATATTTAATTTTTTCATTTGTTTGATTAAAAAATTATTTTCCATTGTCGGATTGAATGTGTTTAACCCCCTTGGGTAGAATGGTTTTAATGGCTTCTGTAACTACCAACCAACCCTGTCTTATTCTTTAGTGGAGCAGCATAAACTTTTTTTAGAAAATGTATGTATTAAAGTTAAGATATATTTAATGCTGGGCTTTTAACCATTTTGCCAAGATATAAAAAAGAGATATTTATGTTTTATAATTTTCAAGATATAAGTATTTTAAAATAATATTATGTACTTAGAAAATTTTGAGGTGTGTAAAAATTTCAAAAGAGTCTTGACTTTGAAAATCTTTATAATAACTGTGATTGCGCCCATATAAAATAATGTTAATTTTTTTTATGTTGTAATATTGTTTATAATCAATCAATATTTTAATGGCTTCTGTAACCACCAACCCTGTCTTATTCTTTAGTGGAGCAGCATAAGCCTTTTTAGAAAATGTATCTATTAAAGTTAAAATATATTTATTGCCAGAATTTTCTCTAGCATAGTTTTGCATATCAATTAAATCTATTTGTACAGTTTCGTTTATACCTAATACTTTAAAAGACCTTCTAATGAAATTCTGTCTTGCAGGCTTATGAAGTTCGTATGCAATTTCATTCATTTTTTATAACATCACTCTTTCCTTTAACTCTAAATATATCACCATTAGCCCCAATCAATTGATTATCTTTTATTCTTTTAAATACATAGTTATCTGGTATATATGGTCTATTATCTATATACTTAAATCCACTCAAAGATGTGGGGTCAGCAACTAATAAATCAGGATTGTATTCCATCAAATTATTTTTTTTCTCTATATACAAATTTCGATCCATCATAATGCATAGCTTGTGACATGAGACAAATATCATCTAAATGTCCCCCCTCTGGTAGATTTCTTATAAATTGTTTTTTGGCAAACTAGCTGTTTGCCCGTTCTACGTACGGGAATA